GACCAATCATTACATTTATATAATTCAGCGTGGTTGTTTCGGCTTGTAGCTTGTTACAAAAACTCTCTCTTCCATTCATCCATAGTTTTTAACGAAAGCCAACACAAACACAACAGAGAGCAAGCCTTTTCGACTTGTCACGGCATATGAAATATTCGGGAATCAAATTAGATCGGATTTATTTGAATCCGACACCAGTTCATTTGAGGATATTGCACAAATCCAAATTCGATCGCGTCCGGGTCCGTTGAAAAATTACTTTACGAACGTAAGTGACTATTTTCTTCGCTCAACTACTTCTACACGGTCCTGTTCTTGTGTTCTTTCTCTTCCGAGTAACTTCATTCATACCGTAAGCATCAGCTGGAACAAGCAGCACTGGGTTACAAACAATCTCAGATAACTATTGATCAACAATTCAGATTTAATTTCCCCATCGGGGTTAAATTGGGCCAGTGCCGTTCATGACTGTCATTCACTCTAGCTGGAATGGGACACTGGAGAATATAATGGTACGAAACAAGACTGATAGGCCCAATTTAGTCAGGTATTTTAACATTGTCAAAGTATTAACCCTTTTGCAGCAATTTAAACTGACTGACCGACAGAGTAAACGGAATATACTTGTTCATGAATTCATCGAATTTGTAAATGTCTCCCAGTAAGCTACGGAACCGCTTGCCACAGAATCCAACAGTAGTTTATGTTCGACTGTAACTAACGTGAACCTTCAGTTTTCTTTCAAATGCAGTTTAGATGGTCTAATCTAGCTAAAGTCAGGTTTTCAGACTTCTACATTCACATCAATCCCTTCTAAACATTCATCTTTTTGCCCTGGTGTTGTTATTCTTAGTGCGCAACAAATGGACGATAAAGGACTCATTTCACTCGTGTTGGGGATCTACAGCACTTCCCGTTCTTGGTTTTGCGGAGCTTGAACTCCTGGCATCCAACAAACGCAGCTAGCATGTTACGACATCTCTACCAGCACACGCTAAAAACACCCAACTGACGGCTTTTGGATGGACGAAAGTGTTCAACCTTAGGCGATGAGATTATTTAACCCGATTTCAAAAAAACAGGGAGTGTGTAGCTTATGCTTACGAGTCTTTTTGATTCAGACCAGTCAGTAAAAAGAACTTAGCCAGAAACTTTACTGAAGTGTTTATTGATAGTGACTTCCGTCGCATCAGAATGCCACGCTGATGAGTGTGTTAAGCAGTTGCTAGGTTTTTATTAGGCTTCTAAAAACAACCAGTAATTTGGGCTTATTCAGTATGAGGCGGCTGCCCCAAAACCTAATGGACAGTTTCAAGCAACTCACTCTCATAACCTCGACTCATTCTTATAGGTATGCCCAAAGCTACAGGTGAATATTTTACCGGTGCTGGATGATTCGGAATTTGACAACAAAAAGGATTATACTGATTTACAATCAAGCCATCCAATCGCTCATTGCTATATATCGCTGAAATCCTTAAACGTAATTGACGATGTGTCGAATTCACAAATCTCATCAACGCCATGCAAACTGCTCATGGACAGTCCCACGCAGCAATCAACGAAAGAATCGGAAGAAGATGATCGAGGTGATGAGGGACATGGGGTTGGAAACAAGGCAGAGTATGGATTCAGCGCTTGTGTGTATCTGATCAAGAAACGCTCCTCGGGTAAGTTCATTACCAAGGATTCTTGTATTGCAGTTTTACCGCGACATTCACTGATTCACTGCCGTTTTATGATACTCTTCGACTGAATGTGTTTCACAAAGGTCTTCGCATATTTCAGTCCATACGATCATCGGAATATCGCAGTATACTCTCCTGAAGGAAACTACTAACGATGTTGCTGGAAACTCCTGAAAAGCCCACGACTATTACAGTCATTGCTAAATCAGTTTGTTTTTCAAGGAGACCAACTGAATCTATCGTTTATGACATTCTTCAACTGAATGTGCTGCACAAAATTCGCCACATGTTTCACTTGGCACGATATTCAAGATATCACAGCGTATTTCCATAAAGGAAAATACTCAAAAGGTTGCTGAAAGCTCTCCGAGGCGGTCTGTGTGCGGCAGAATCATTTGAAGAGCCTAATAAACGAGAGATTCGGTTGAGTAACCCGTGAAGACCAAAGAGACTTGCAGATGGGTGTATTTTTTGGCATCATTCTAATTTTGGTCCAGGTAGAACGTAATGTTGACGGAAACTCGGAAACTGCACCTGATGAACCTCAAGATGGGCGAAACCGGTCATAGACTGTGGAAAATTGTTCAGCAACCACGTGCGTATTCCACTACCGGTTTCATCCTTGTTTTTCGGGCTCATCACGTAGGTGCATCCCCTAAGTTTTCGTCAAACTTATGTCCTACTTGAACCCAAATTGCACTTAATTCGATTTATACACTCATTTGCGTGCCTATTGGGAGAGTCTCAATTCGAAGACCGATTAGGTGTCCCTATTGAATTCCAGCTTAATCTATTGTCTTTAATGTGTAGTAGACAGGCCGCCTCATGTTTCTTGAAGCGTAAACTTAGAACATAAGCAACTCGAGGACTACGCCTACTTGATGAGCTGCAAGAAGATGAATCCCGTCGCAGGTGTTCGAAGAGCTTTCTGCGAACTTTTGAGTGGTTACCTGTATTCTCATTTTATGTGTGTATGTATGGTGTCAGGATAATTATGAAGTCAAGTAAAAGATGATACTTGCTTTAAATTTGTTCTATTATTGTAGCGATTAAAACTAAGCCATTGGAATTTATGGCTTCTTGTAAACCTTTATTCTCCCGCACCGCGCAAGCGTGATATCTATTATCCTAACAGGACAAGATGAAACAAACGTTTTTCTTAGAGTTTCATCGTATTTACTGTTTTTCCTTCCCGTTGGTTGCATATACAG